CCCCAAAACCCCAAAACCCCAAAACCCCAAAACCCCAAAACCCCGAGATAGGTGCAAATTTTGAATTATAATTTAAATTAAAATAGAGCACAAATGTGGGTTCACATGATTGCTGACAAGTACGCTCACAGTCGCGTACCTTCACTTGGAGAGCATCTGAAGCAGAATTTAGATGTCACAAAGATGATATTTTCTGAGAAATATCTTCCTCCACACCTAAGGTTTGGGATAATTAGAAGAATACTCAGGTTCTTCTTTTTGCCGATAGCCCTATTTGCCATCCTAGTTGCCTTGACTTATAATAATGATGAGAGGACGATATCTGATAAGTGTGAGAGAAGAAATAAGTGTATGTCTAGATGCCAAGCAGATCACTTTCCTGATTTCGTCTGCAATAGCACTACTGATAGTTTAAATTACGGTGGAAATTTTTATGACACATTTTATATTTATCCAATGAAGGATTCCTTCTTCTACAATGACTGCAAGGCAATGATAGCTGATGGAAGTGATATTAGTTTCTCTAATGGAGTTCCAAAACGACCTTGGATGATACAAACTTGATTTAACTGGTGAAAGAATTCAACCTCAGAAGGCTCATTCATCACCTCAGATACTAGAGCAGAATGAACATCTGCTAACAAAAATGATGCGATCATCTGCCTAGACCCTCAGACAACCTCATGAGAATCAAGTTGTCTCAGAGGGATTGGTGAATACTGTATCAATTTTTCAATTATCTTTATTAGTATTTTCGCTACGGATTTATGGCAACTAATTTTTGAATCTTCAATCCTATATGCTCTATCTATCACTCTGAAGCCAACCAACATAGAAAGGCTGAAAGACTCTGAGAAATACAAAGATGATGAAATAAATGACCAAGAAGGAAGTGACAATCAGAAAGACCTTGAATGAGGGAAGATCTCACTGAAATGGACAGCAGAGCTCATTGCTGCCTTCTCATATATAGCAGCCATTGTGATACTTGTTGTTTTTACCATCTTCATTGCTAGTTATGGAGATATCAGAACAGTTCTGATAGAATTTGCAATAGCTCTCCCAATAGAGCAAGCCAAATGCCTGATAATCCAACCAGTGATTTGGTGGGTCTTCATTAGGTAAATTTCAATTTCTAACACTTTAGACGTTTTGGAAAACTAGAAGTAGCTGAGGACTTCCACTGGGACGACGAAAGGATGCTAGAAGAAGGTGAAAGCATGTCCTTGCTCGAGAGAGTCCGTAGAAAGGGTAGAGAATTTTTAGATAATTCAAAAGTCTCTTCGTTTATCTATGTCATGGTGATCTTACTCTGAATAGTCATCCTTCTTGAACTATCCTTCACCAATGATATTGATAAGAGTGAGGTACTCAAGGAGATCTTCAGGTGGATAAACTTTGCTTTGTTACAATTCTTCATGATCGAGATCGCAATGAGGCTATTTTCTGAAGGATGTGACTTCCTGATGGAATTCATCAACCTCTTTGATATGTGCATCGTCATAGTCTCATACATCCTAAACATCCTCAGGATCGATGCGAGGATTGTTGGAATCCTGAGAATCCTCAGACTTGTAAAAGGTAAGATCATTTTAGTTCAACTTCAGTCCTGATTTCAAATCTAAAACTGTATAGTCATCATTGAAATGAAGAGAGCGGCAGATGAACAGAAGGACAGACAAGAGATGATTAGAGACCAAAAGAAACAGCAAGTTTCGAATTACTCACCAGTGCCTCATGTCGAAAGGATAACTGATTATTTGGAGAAGCTCACAAAGAATCCTTCTGTTCCTAAAACTCTGATCGATGATATCAATTGGGCTATTAAGACACTTAGTTCTAACAAGTTGTTCAAGAACAAGCTAGGAGGGTTTAAGATTCCTAAAGATCGTGAAGATTCAAAAGCTTGGTACAATCTTATAAATCTGCCTTCCAAGTTGATCATTAATAAAGATGGAGAGGAAGGAAATATGGACGCATTCAATAACGAATCTGATCAACCTAATGGGCTTAACCTTCATAAAGAATTTAACTACAGAGGAGAATCTTTGGATAGACATAATAAATCTGACAATAAGATGGACGTGCATAAAAGAAAGCATACCAATCCTTTAAGGATCAGAGATTCTCAAGAAGATGTAGATCCTTTCTTTGAACTCATTGAAGAAACTGATACAAGAATTTATGCAAATGCTCTTGAGAAATTTGATGAAAGTCAGTTTGACCCATTTGCATTCTTCCTAAATGTTGGAGATGCCTCTTTCCAATATCTCATGTATAAGATATTCACTATCTATGGTTTAATGGGTCCGTTCAATATTCCATTAAAGAAGTTATGCAAATTTTCTGAAGAAATGCAAAAAGGATACTCTGAAGAAAATGAGTTTCATTGCCCAGCCCATATTGTCGACACTCTCCAAGCAATGCATTATATGTATACAACTGCAAACTTGAAGAAATATTTGAAAAAGGGAGATATTTTAGCATCTTTCTTGTAAGCATTTGTATCATCTTTAGTGCAAATATAATTCATGATTATGAACATCCAGGGTATACAAACCAGTTTATAGTCAGAATCAAACACCCTCTCGCTCTTAGATACAATGATAAGAACGTTCTAGAGAATCATCACCTCGCTTCCAGTTTTAAGGTGCTGCTTCAGCCAGAGTACAACTTTCTAGAAAATCTATCAAACGAGTCATTTTTCGAATTGAGAAAAATCTCAATTCAAGCTGTTTTATCTAATTCTTCCTACTTTGACCTCCTAGCAAGGTTGAAGGTGAAATTAGACAGTAAATTCCCTACAGAGAATCAAGAAGATGTTAATTTAGTGATCTCGATCACACTCAAGGTACTCTTACACATTGACCATATAGATTTCAGACATGTTTAAGGTGGTCCGTTCCCCCACAGTGTTCTTCAAATGGATGGATAAAATGTTTAACGAATTATATTGTAAGCAGGCCTGCATCATCCCATAGAAAACAATCAGATATGGAGAAGATGTACCTAGATCTCTCCGCCACCAAATTTATAGATAGGGACAACACCGACCGAGAGGAGTCTTACTCAAGTTATATAGAGGTACTCTGCAGACCTTTGTTTGCCACCTTCTTAATCATTACTGAGGAAGACATTAAGAAGGAAATTATTGAAGATGGAATTAATAGAAACCAGATCAAGATCCTTGGAAGTTATTCTCACCATGACCAGATGAGCTTTGCTTAAAAATAGTTGATTTTATATTTTAGATGCATTTTTCAGATCTTTTGGGGCTCCCAGGGGTTTTGGGGTTTTGGGGTTTTGGGGTTTTGGGGTTTTGGGGTTTTGGGG